CTGTGCTGCCTGCACTGCCTGTGCTGCCTGCGCTACCTACGCTGCCTGTGCCACCTGCGCTGCCTGTGCTGCCAGGCGGGGAGGCATTGCTGCTGCTTGCAGCCACATAGGCACTGAAAATGGACTTTCCACCCAAAAAGTCAGTGCTTTCCCCCCACCCCCAGCTAGTGGGCTAGTAAATCACACTCCTACCCACAAGCTATAGCTATACATAGATACAGCCATACAGCCTCATACTAATTATTTATATTAGATAGTGTTATTTATATTATACTAGTGTATAATTTTTACACTCCACAAAAACTGTAGTGTGCCAGCGTAGGTAGTTTTATGTGTGTACACCAGAGCTGCTGGGGTTTTGGCCAGTACCCCGTGTGCTGCTGGGCAGGTCCTGATGCCTGACCGCACACCTGATTGCCAGAAGAATTTGTACAGAAGGCACAAAGGTGGCCCAGAAGAAACCCCAGAGCCAGGACCCAAGCAGAGGCACCCATCACACCCATATGCAGCCTTCAAGGCTATGTTGCAACCCTGGTGACACCTAACCAGAAGCTCTTTGCTCCCCTTGCTTTAGCTCTGTGTCTCTGCCCCTCAGCAAGGAGCCTGGCCAGCTGCAAGCCCCCTTTGCTGGGCTGAGGGCTCCCGTCTTCCTCAGGCTCTCAATTCAGGTGCAAAGGCCACCTCCAGCCCTTGAACCAGAGCATGGCCCCAAGCATGGCTGGCCTCTGGGCTCGGGCACTGCTGCCACCCCAGCCCTGCCTGGGCAGCACCTGGCTTGGAGCAGCTTTGTGCCCCGCAGTGCTACTGGCATACCCGCCATGGCATCTCCTGAGCTGCCACCAGCTCCCCCCCAGGGGAACAAAACAGGATGGTATTAAATGTTACTTTTGCTCCTTTTCCCATGTTCTCCAGTGTACATCCCACCACACCCATCCTGGCTGTCCCCCCGCTCCTCTGCAGGCCCACATTCTTGCTGCCTCCTGTCTCCATCCATTTTCCTGGTACTCCCTGTCACTGCCCAGCCCCTCAGCACACATTGATCCCACTCAACGTGCTGGCACGGGGTAGGAAAAAGCAGATGGGGATACAGCCTGATGGTTTTGCTTTCCTTTGGGGAGACCAAAGGGAAACCGCAGTCACCTGGATGCTGGCAGTCGTGGGCCACACAGGACCTCTCCTCCAAGGCTGCAATTTTAATTAAATGCAGTATTGGTTGGTGGTTTTTTTATTATTATTATTGTTCGTTGCCTCCCCATGGTGGCCCAAGCACTGAGATGCGCTGTCATGCTCCCTTAGGCAGCACCTCTTACCCTGGGAGAAGGTGCAGGGACTCCAAGTGACCTGTCTCCACAGCCCCATCAGTGGAGCAGCTCAACCAAGCCCCAATCCCGCACACAGCCCAGGCCTCCCTGCACCGTCCCAGCAGCCCATTCTGGGCAAAGATTTCACAAGGAAACACTAAGGCTGGCTTTTTGGCTGGCTCAGATTTTGCTCTCCTTGAACAAAGGGGAGAGCTCTTGGAGGCTCCTCCATGGAAATCCATGGAAGGTTTCTTGCTGCAGTGCCCTGCTCAGCTGAAGAACTCTTTGCATGGGGTGCAGAGGAGACCAAAATCATAGCAAGATGCTTAAAGGAGCCTGGATGATTCAGGGAGAACAGGTCCATCTGCCGGCTAATAAACAGCATAATTGGATGCAACTGCCAAGTCAAGAAGCCCCTGAAATAGCAAGGTTGGGAAGCTGGAAAGAGCAGAGCTCCCTTCTACTTATGGACTTTGCCCAAGCATCTCCCAAGGTCCCTGAGGTCCCTGTGCTGGGTAGGAGGGACCTTCCCTTGCAAAGCTGCTCCCCTGCTCAAGGAGCAGGAAACCACTGCTCTCACGTAGCCTCTCGGCAGCTCAGGAAGCTCCACGAGCATCACACCAAACAGGGCATTCACGTTGCCCTCCTCCGCCCAGCAAAGAGGAACACAACCACCCTTTCCCACCAAATGCAGCTGCTGTCACAGGGAGATAGTCTTCCGCACACGTGCTGGCCAGACACTGGCTCGAGAGGACTCCAGGGCACGGTTGCATTTTGCAGACTCACATGGTACCATGGGTGGAGCAGGAACATAGCAGGCCAGCGGACAAGCAACACCAGTTCCTCTCTGGTCATCCAACTGGAACCAGTAATGATAAAAGGCCCAGCTCCCATTGCTGCTCGTCCAGCCCATTGTTTAAACACTCCCAGGACAAAAGCTGAACAGGCCCCAATTTGCATGCGATGCATTAGGAAACATGTCCTGTGAACAGAGGGGAGTGGGGAGGGGGAAGATGGCAGTTTTCTGGCATCCCATTTAATTTATTCCAACTTTATGCAGCATGACTTTTCCAAAAGAGAAAAACACAAAAGAAAACTTCCTGATTCCTAAACAAAACAAAAAGTACAAACTGCAGATGAGAGCCAGCATGTGCAAGGTTTACATGAAAAAGCAGAACACCCTCGGGTGCTAACAGAAAACAGGTAGCATTTTTACAGTTACTTGGCTTTTGCATGCAGGTGCGTTTCCTTTCTCTCACTCCCTCTCGGACACATCCATATGCACACACCCCCACCCCTGACTTTCCAAAAGGGGGGTCTTCTCCCATCTCCTCCACTGCCACATCCAAACCCCTGTAAAGTTGCGAGGGGCTTAATTTGCAGAGAGCACCTGTGCCCTTTGCACTCGGAATCTGAAACATGGGGCCAAGAAGGGGGAGGAAAAGCAACAAACCCCAGTGCACCCCTTCCTCCAGAGCCCTTTGGCCTTTTGCTTTTCCTTATTTTTTTTTCCCCAGATGAGGGGGTGCAGCAGCAGGGACCCCGATGTGGTGTTTCTCCAGCACCATTTGGTGTTTCTGGGGTGTGCTGGCAATTACCAGGGGCTGGTCCCATCCCTGGGGATCACAGTCAGGCAGCTTTGGTGCCTGGCTCATGAGGTGCAGGCACAGGGTGCTCCCAGCCAGACCCCACACTTGCCAGGGAACCTCCTTCTTCCACCATGTTCAACCTAACCCCACAGAGGACCTGGGATCTGGAGGCCATTTGCTACTCAGAAACATTTGCCAGGAATTGGGAGATGCTTTATTTCCCCCCCTAGCCTTGATTTCATTTAAGGAAAGCCCAGGACTTTTACTCTAAGGGCAATATTTTTGCAATTGCTCTGCAAACAGTATCCATATCAAAAAGGGAAAAGAAAAAAAAAAATGAAGAAAATAATAAAATCTCCTTGCTTAGGGGATGGGGAAGTTATTTATTCTTAGCATCGGTGTGTTCTGTACAGAAAGAAATCAACAGGTGAAATAACAGCAGAGACACATCTCTCCTCGGAGCGGCATGTCCAGCGCAAAACCTCTCAGAGCGCCTGGAATCACTTGGATTTAATCTATACAAATGTGTGTGTGTGGGCAGAGGGGTGCATGTGTGTCCGGGCCTTTACAAAGCAAGATATATACTGTAATTTACTTACAAAAAAAAAAAAAAAAAAAAAAAAAAGTGTGTGCTGAATAGCAGATGCTCACTCCAGTCCCAAGCGAAAATGGAGGGACAAGGGGAGCTGCTTGGGAGTGCAGGTTTTAGATTTTTTTTTTTTTTTTCTATCTAGAAACAAAGAAAGGATGAATGAGAGAGAGAAACAGTCCCTGGCTTGTTATCCTAAATCTACACAGGCATCCTTCCACCTAGCCCCAGCAAGTTCACTTTAGCTCCCTCAGCATAAGCCGATCCTAAGAAATACTGGGCAATAGCCCTTCAAACCCCCTGGAAAACCAAGCATTTAGCTTCGCCGTCACTCAAAGGCCCCATCCTCCCAGACCAGCGGCTGGAGCCGGGTCCCTGAGGGGCTGGCCCAGCACCAGGAAGGGAAGCACCCAGGGGTGGGGGGGGGTGGGGGAGGAGGCTATCCCATCCTTAGCCCTTTCCCTCACTGATGCCTGCTTGGGGGATGCATCCTGATGGCGCCGGCACCTTCCAGCTGGGAAGCCAGGGGTTTTCCTCCTTCCCTTACTCCTACACCACATCCCATGCCAGGACTGACAGCTGGGCTGGGGCACAGGGGACCGGCAGGACACAAGAGGCTGGCAACACAGTATTTACAGTCTTTGGTCTCGGGGAAGGGAGGGGAACAGGGGGAAGGGTGGGGTTTTTTCCTTTGTTTTTTGTCCCTCTCCTGCCCATGGCGAGGGGTTTGCCCCCTGGGAGGTGTCGGGGAGCACACGGCGCTCCGTGCTGGAGGGTGCAGGAAGATGCCGCAAAGCAGCAGGGAGGGCAGGGCAGGGCCGCAGGGCGAGGAGCAAAAAAGACCGGTTCTCTGGCTTACGTTGGGTGAAGACTATAGGAAAGCAGTCCCTTCTCCTTGCAACCCCCCCACCGCCCTTCCCCTCCCATCATCCCTCCCATCCCCAGGAGCTGGGCAGCAGGGGAAGGAGAGCAGCACGCAGGACCCAACCCCAGTCTCTTCCAGAGCCTAAAGAGACACACTGAAACCCATGTCAAATCCAACACCGGGGCCATGGCGAGCCGCCTCCAGCGAGCAGGATCACGTCCGTCTACTGGCTCCGCAGGGCATGTGCTCCCCGGTCCTCCTGCTCATGGGCTGTGTAGAAGAGGTGGCACTCGGGGTCCCCACGGATGGTAGGCGCACCCTGGATCACCTTCCCATGGATGGGGTCCACGCACCAGCACTCGCCCCGCTGCCCGTTCACTGACATCTTGCACTGCATGGAAAGGGACAGGGCAGGCATCAGAGAAGGAAACAAGGACAAAACAACCCCCTTCCCAGCCCCACCCACCCAAACACAGGCAGAGCTGGGGGTTCTCCAGTGATTTGGCACTAGGCAAGATTCATGGATGCTGCACTCGGTCACCCAGGGGTCTGTGCTGCACCAGCATCGCTGCTCCAGCATGACCTCTTCCCCCAGGGGCTGTGCCAGGGACCAAGAAGCCAATTTTAATGAACCACAAGGACAACTGCCCCTGAGATGCATCGTGCTCTGTCAACTGTGGATGAAAGCATCCATAGAGTCAAAAATCCCTGGGGGAAGAGGGATGAGACAGACTGACAGAGGAGGTGTGTAAGCTGCTTCTCACCTGCAAATTGGGCTAAACAAACTGAAACATGAGACCAAGGCCCACACAGCCAGATGCAAACGTGTTTCCAAAAAGGGTTTCAGTCTGTCCCAGAACAGAGGTTGGAACCATGGTGCATCTGGACCTGGACTCTGCCCCCTCCACCCCCAGCCTGGTCTGGTTAGAGGTTTCTTGCCCTAATGTTATTATCCACCTCTTGCCCTGGAAAGGCTGCAGGCACTTTGAACCTGATGCTCATCCCTCCATCCCCAGCAGATACATCTCTAAATAGGGTGTAGGAGGAGACACAGAAGTTACTCCAGCAGGCCAGCCTCTGCATGCACTCTGTAAAGATGAATTCAAGCCATTTTCTGCAGCTGAACTGAGGTCAAAATGCAGCCTTGTTCATGGGAATAAAAAGCACGAAAAGATAGGAAGAAAAAGCCTCCCCAGCAGGAGAATGCACCCAGGCACCCTCCACCCGAGCACAGGCCCACAGGAGGTGGGAGCAACTGGGAATGCTTTTGTTAGCATCCACTCTCCAGCAAACGATGAGGAGCTGATGCTTAGCTCTGGAAAGCCAGATGGAGGGAAACGGGTATTGCTTCACATTTGTCTTGTTTGCCTTTAACCAGGGCAGGGTGGATGGGAGAAGAGAAAGCAATTTTTGTCCCCTTTTTTTCCTGTAGCAGTGACCAGTCTGTAACCCATCTGCACCCTTCAGTGCAGGCTGACTTGTCTGCCAGGCACAAGGAGGAGCAGAGACTGTCTTTCCTTTTACAGTGCATGCTGCATCGCTGCATTGCTGAGGCTCGCTCCCCAGACACAGCTCATCTCCTCACGGGGAGTTTGCCAGCTCTGCTCCATGTACCCCTTCCAAGTGTGCTCATGCTGGGGATCCAGCCAGCCCGTGGGGGAGGCAGACGGTGAGGGTCCAGGCAGGACATGGAAGAGAGAAGGGATGGAGAGATATTATCTCCGAGCATTCTCTTTTTTTTAATGCTTTTTTTTTTTTAAATGGTCCTGACCAAAGTGTGGAAGTAGCCCTGAGAAAAAGGCTTAGCCATGAAAACAGCAGGTTTTCTGGGGTTCCCTCCAAAGGCTTGGTTACACACAGCTGTAAGGGGTGCTCGTATCCAGGTACTATTCACACGTGGCCCCCAGTCAACCCTGGACAAGCTGGTGTTTTGCTGCCCAAGAGATTTTTCCTGGCATTTTTTTCCCCCATGCCGCAGCCACTGACACCTGCTGGTTTTGCATGAATGAAGCCAAGAAGTCAAAATTCAGACACACATTAAGCCATTTGAGTCCTTTTGGGCCCTGTAAATACTTTCAGAAGGATGCTGCCCCCAAACTCCCACCTCATCTGGAAGGAATCCCTCCTGGAGCTGTGGGACCAGCCTCAATTTGTGGAGGAAAACCAGTAAAGTGTTCTGGAAACCTTTCTGACCCCAGGAGAAGTGCTTTCTGCTTTGTCTGCAGGACTGGCCAGCATTCAGCCCCTCTCTGCTTTTCCCCTGTAGCGGGGCCCAGCCAGGACAAGATTTGGCTCAGAGCACATGAACACAGACCCAGACAGATAAGCAGCTCTCCCAGGGAGGAAGGGGCCCTGAACTAAACAGATACTCCATCTCTGGGCTGCCCGCAGCCAAGCATGGATGTGGGTCTCATCTCCACTTGCTAGCCCATAGCTGCAGATGCACCTCAGTGTTACTAACCTGTCCATGCCACGTGTGATGTTTGCCATTTATCCTACACTTTGCACCATGTGCGTGACATCAGCCCAGCCCTGAGCTGCATATGACCCCACGGCTGCACACAGGGGGCACGCATGTTAAGCCGAGGGCTGCCACTAGGAGTGCGGCCAGCCCTGGGGATCCCCACTTACCTGTTTGAGATTGTACAAGCCGTGCTTGTCACAGTTGGGGATGTGGAGGGAGTAGAGGTGCTCCAGGGGACCTCGCTCATCCGGCAGCCGCATAGTGGAGATGCGTTCCAGGACCTGATCCAGCTCCTGCTGACAAGGGGTCTGAAAAGAGCCCAGAAAGCAGAAAACAAAACAAACAAAAAAAAAATCAGGGCAATGGGACTATTCAATGTTAACACTTTGGACAACCGAAATACCAGTAGGGATGAACACCTCTGTACACCTCCATATGACCCGGGTTGGTCACCGAGTCCCACTGCAGACTTCACCTGCAGGCACCCAAAAATCAGAGCACTGCACATCCACACGTATCGACGTGTGGAGATTCACATCGGCACGTCCCTCCCACATGCCTCACCTGGCCGAGAGCCAAGTTGACACCAGGTCACAGGTCCTGGAGGCACAGAGGAGAAGCCTCAGAGATGCTCCCATGGGTGCCATTGGTGGTGACAAGTGATGTGAAGCAGGACTAATCCTGACAGACCAGGAGTGTTTCCATGAGCATAACCCAGATCCCACACCTGTGATGTAGTTTCGGCCCAGAAGTGCAACTCAAAGCATGTGAGACCCCATAAGAGTGGAGGGGAAACCGCAGGAACGAGAGCACCCAGCAAAGCCAGCCTCTGGAGGCATCCCTCTTGCTCCACAGCAGCCCCAAGCCAGCGCTCCCAGCCAAGGCAGCACAGTTGAATTATAGCTGGTGTGAGCTGAAGTGAGTCCACACCTCTCTGCTTTTGCAGTTGCTGGGGTTTCTCCCCCAAAGGAGCCGCAGCAATGTGGGAGCAATCTAAGCTGACGGTGCCTGCAGTTTATTTTGAAGCTCTGCTTTGCCTGTTCCTCAGAGGGAAAAAGGGCTCTCTTTCAAAGCCCCCTTCTGCCCCTGCTCTCCCCAGATATAAATACCCTATATGTTGATAGAGATCTGTAGCACCTTTTGGGCGGCTTTCCATTCCCATCCCCATCCCATCTAGTTGCCTTGACCAAACTGCCCACTAGAGGGAAACCACGGCCAAGGACTGGAGGGCAGAGGACAGGGAAGAAGGGAACAGGGAAGGCTCGGGCACTCTCCCTGCTATGTGACAGCCCCGCAGCCCATCCTCGGGGGCTCTGGGCCCTCCCCTCAGCCTGGACCGGGGCTGCCCTGCAGCAGGCAGAGACCCTTCCACCTCCCAAATCCCCTTGGGCCATCCCCTGGCACTTGCTTAGGGAAAAAGGGTGTGAGAAAGCCGGTCCATGGGCAAAGGGCACGCTCGCACCCCTGCGGAGGTAGGTGTTGAGCCAGCGGGACCCCCCTTCCCCGGCTCTGCTGTCAGGAGGTGAAGCTGCAATGAAAATAACGCCTCCTCGCCAGCACATCAAAGTTCATCAGATGGTGCATTCGGCCCCAGCTTCAGGCCAAAACAAACGTTTGCTTTTCCTTTTTTTCTCTCCCTCTCTCCCCCCTTTTTTCTTTCTCTTTTTTTTCTTTTTAAGACAGTTTGTTGCAGATGTCACTAAGGCTTTTGCATTCAGAATTTCCCAGTGAGCCCACAGCTGCCTCCATTAGCTCCCCCCATGCCCCCTGCCCTCTCACCCTGCCCGTCGACAGCCGCGACTTCTTTGAATCCTCGTGGTTGTGATGGGCCTTGCCGACTTTGCCCATCTGCCGCTGCTGCTCATTCACTTTCTCCCTCATAACCGCCAGCTCCTTCATGCCCGTCTTCATGGGCTTCCTCCCTCCGGCTCCGCTCAGGATCCCCGTGGTGCCATCCACATGGTTCTCAGCAAGGATGCTCTCGGACCGGTCATCGCCATTATCTGCAGGAGACGGGGCAGACATGGAAAGGGTCAAGCTCAGCCATGCGCTCTCCCGCATGTTCATCCCATCCTGGATCACTTTCAAGTGTGGCCGATTACCAAGCCATAAAATCTTTGCATGCAAAAATTTTAAATTGCATTAGCCCTTTCATCTGGAAGGTGAGAATAGATCCTTTCATTCTGGAGTTATTACCACACTAAAAGACAGTTTAGAGAGCAGGGGAAATCGCTGCTGGAGAAGTTCTTTCTGGTTTTTCTTTGACCTTCTAAATTACTTCCCGAAGAATGTAGTTTTCCCATCAGAAGTCCAGTTGGGTTAGGGATGCCAAGTGTACTTCAGCTCCAAAACTTAAAACCACAGTGATTAGTAACAATACCTTGAGTCCATCTATCATCCCCCAGAGTATCTCCAGGAATACTTACTCAATATTAATGTGCTAAAATAAATTCTCAGGCCTACTTTCAGAAATACCTTGCCTCTGTTTTATGGCCACCCTAATTTCCCTCACAGATCCTGCCATTTCAGTGATCGGCCTTGCCATGTAGCCTTTCACATCATTTGTCACACAGCCCATTACTCATTTAGCTTCTACTTACTTCTGCATTTGGCCACTTCTGCTGACCGTGGAACAGCCCCATGTGTCCTGGGCCCAGCTCTGCCACTGCTGCAAGCTAGCTCCACCCCTGGCTAATTCAGCCACTTCAAAATTGGCTAGCAGAAATCTGGGGATAAACACCAGACTTTTTCCACCTCCTCCACTCTCTGCTTTGTGCATTTTCCCAGTTCACTGGGTGCCATTTCCGAGAACAATCCTCGCCAAAGTAGGTCACAACACCACAGACACCAGTCCCTTTGGACTTTGGGGTGGCAATGAGGACAGATCTCAGTTCCACCTGCTTGCTCCAGAAGGTGACAGCTGACCCCTCCGTGGTGCCTGGTCTGGTCTGGCTGAGCAAGCACATCTAACATCGTAGCTGGATCTAACACTGAAGCCAGCCCTGCTTTAAGTAGGGGCTTGGACTGAGACCTCCAGAGGACCTTTCCAGCCCAAGTTTTGATTCAAGCCATGCACGCACATCACCTCTCACTACAATAACCCGGGCTAAGTACGTCTCTGTATATGCCTCTGTATGTAGGAGCTCCTCAGCAGCTCCACAGGTCCCACACCAGTGACAGACCAGGCCATTCTGGTCCTACAGTGGTGACAAACATGAAGTGTCTTTTAGCATATACCAAGGAGGAGGACTTGTAGCACCCAGCCTCCCAACATCAGCATCCTCTCCAGCACCTCCAATTTCAGCTTTCGAGCACGCCAGAACTCAGGCACTTTTATAGAAGTAAAGAAATCATATCTAACTGTGCACAACGGAGGGCGAGCAATGTAATATTGCTTAATTTATGGATCTCTCCTGCTTCTTGGAAGACAAAGCATGCAGAGCATTTCCAGATTTTAATGTTTCCTTTTTTTCAGAAGCTGCATCATGATATTTTGTCAGGGGTGTCATGACAGAGAGTGAAAGATCCTAATAGCAAGTGTTTTATTTCTGCCACAGCTTTCTAAGCTCATTTCGAATATTACAACCCCAGGCTCGCACAGGGGAAACAGCAAAAAGGGTTTTGTCTGAACTTACTCAGCAAGTGCGTGGCTGCCTGCAGACTGATGGCAAGAGGAGAGCCCAAGTGGGCTGGATCAAAGAGCCACCCCAGCCCAACGTGCCATCCACAAAAGACCATCAGCAGCTGCTTGGGGACACGCATCAGAAGGACCAGTCCAAATCTGTGCTACAGACCAGCAGTAAAAACACTTTCATGGCTGGAGACTGCATCTGACCCACAGGATTTGAAAGCCACCAACGGACCCACCTTTCAATGGATTTGTCCAATATCCTTTTGAACTTCCTCACCATTTTGGTCTCAGATCTCCCAATACTGGGATTGTCCCACTTCCCAGAAATGCTAAATGCATTTGGTTTGCAGGTTTTTAGCTGCTTAGGTAGCAACTGAAAAGCAAACATGGGGCAAAACCAATCTGGCAAAGTCCATGACTTTCCTCAATACTGGTTCCAGATGAGAACTGGGACCAGGTTTGATAGCCAGATGGGCGAGCTCAAAGTCTGGGCCTGGCGATTGCCGTCTGGCCGTCATCCTAGGAGCTGGACAAGGAATATTTTAAGCAGGAATCTTCTGTTTATACACCAGTCTCCCTGTTAATTAGAAACACATAGTGAGAAGAGAGAAGGCCGTGAGGCCGCCCTTCAGACAGGATCAAATGAAAAAGCACCGTGCAAGAGACGGGCAAGGCTGGCCAGGCTCTGATCCTCAATGAGCTGCTTAGGAGGGTTTTAGCCTTCCAACGTCTTGTGTGCTCCACACCTTAGTGTTCCATCAAGCTGTCAACAACAACAGAAGAACAAGCACAGCAGCAGGGCAGCATCTCAGACATGTTGCAGTCCCCTGCTTCAGTCAGAAAACCAGTGGTTCGAACTGACAGAAAAGCAGCAAACTGTAAGCAGTGCCTTCCCCCATCGACTTGCACTCCCTCCTGCCTCCAACTAAAATATATAGACATCTGCCCAAATAAGCACTGCGCTAGTAAATGAAGGCAAGCTGGTAAGCCTCTCATCGGCTGATTCATTCACAAAACCTGCTTCTGATAATATTTTTGCTCATTTTTCCACTTTCCAATGCTAACAAATATCAGCCCAAAGAAAACCACTGATGGGAGCAGAGTGTGCAAGCCCATGTGCATGAACACACCCAGGGACAGGAGAGACTGGTCTTGGCTCCCCAGGCACCACCACAGGAGCAGAGACCAGGAAGGTCCAGCTGCTCTTGACTGCAAGCTCTCCTCTCCACGCCAAGCCAGCCACAGTGAGCCATACCTTTGCCCTGCTGCCAGGCTGGACTGATCTACCTGGGGCTGATGCCAGAGCCCCATCACAGATTTTCCCTCTCCCAAATCCAGTGCTGCTCTTCGGATGAGCTCTCCTGGCCTGGGGCTCGCAGGGATGGCTCAATCACTGGGGAAGGGAGATGGGACAGAAGAGGTTGGCCCCATGTGCAAAGCACCGGTGTTTCCTTCACAGAAGAGCTGCGTGCATGGGAGGAGGCTGAGCGTCAGGTGTGATGAACCACATTTCAAAGGGCAAACGGGCTGGGTAGCAATGACAAGCCTCGAGGTTGAGAGAACACAGAGCATGCCAAGAACCAAACAACGCCTTTTGCAGCCAGATAATGCTTTTTAGCACTGCCCAAAAGAAGCAAGTTGTGCGTGCGTGCTTATGACTCTCCATGAACCAATTAAGCCACCCATCAACCCTACCGGCATGGGATGGGCAGGTATGCAATTGCCTCAGATACACAACCGTAATCTGTTTGTCATCCTGGCAAACGCCCTTTTGCTGACCAATTTCAATTCACGCTAAATATATCTGTGAACAGAGCGCTGCCAAACGCCAAAACAATTAAGTTTTATAGTTCCTCCATTTTCCTATGGCATGTGGAAAATATCTCCTGCGCTATTTTGGATCAAAAGGTAGAGCACTTTGTGCAGGGTGGGACAAGTGTGGCAGGAATCAAAGCAGATAGCTGAAGTTCTCCTGAACACTGATGTGGAGCCCATGAAACACCTCTCTCCATGCCAAGAGAATGATTTCCTTATGGCCTTTTTCAAGGAAAATTCCCATTAGCTTCAATGGGGCGAGGACTTGGCTGAGGAGAAAGCGCATTCAAATGGCCATCAGCTAACATCTGTAGGGAGCAGCAGTCTCGCCAACGTTTTCAAAAGCGGCTACCAGTTTCCAGTGTTGAAACTTTTGGGAATCTGGTTTGACACCTCTAGGCACCTCCACCGAGATGCCTGAGAAACAGAGGGGCTTAAAAACAACCTGCCACTTCCAGAGCTACACGAAGGGAAAAAAGAAAAAAAAAAAAAAAGCACCTCACAAAAAAGGCAGCTGTCTGAAGTTAAAAATACATCTTTATCCCTTTGAAGAGCCCCGAAGCATATCTGGGCTGCGGGACGGGGCTGAGCCAGCAGCACTCACTCAGCTGCATCACGGGCAGCACACACCGTGCCAAGGGCAGCGGCCACCCTCTCCTGCGCCGCTCGCTCGGCGCTTGCTTTCCTTCAATGGCAGCTTGCCCGCAGGGTTTCACAGGCTTATCTGCCCGGGGTGTTTGCATAGCGTTTAAGTGCTGATTAAGGTCCCAGATCCACAGAAAGTTTCACCCAAATGGCCTTCAACAACCTGCCTGGAGCCCGCTAGACTCAGGTCCCAACTGTATCCTGGGCTTGCATCTCCCTCCCGCAGCAATCGCAGTCTCCGTTGGCCAGCACTTGCCCTCTGAAGACAGCAAACCGCTTTGCAGTTCATTAATTACCCTGGAGAGAGGTGTTCATCCTGGGTTGCACATGGTGAAAAAAAAAAAGGCACAGAGGAGTTTGAGAGAGCTACCCAAAGCCATGCAGGGAATCGATGAGCAAACCCAGGAGCCTGCGCTCCGGCCCTAGCACCGCACAGTGCACAGGAGCGAGCACACTTGGGGCTGCAGAAATGCAGCATTCAGACAGCAATTTTTCACCTTGAGCAGTGTTGGCCATCTCATCTAGATCTAGCTCTTTCTTTCCTCCCCCCCACCTTCCAACACTTTTAACTTCTTGTGGCCACAAGTTCTATCATTTCAGGATAATTTAAGTGTCTGTTCTGGGTTTTGCTTGCCACTTTTTATTTTAAGGAACAGAGCTGCCTGTCCCAGGCTGCCAGGAACTCAGCACTTGTCCTTCACAGCCCAAGAGCAGACAGAGCCTTTAAACCTGACCTTTAACAGGCACAACAGCCACAGACAGAGAATTACTTGCAGAAAGGTGGGGAAGCAGACAAACCCTGACCACAGCCCCGGTGACCTCTGCCTCATCAGTCTGCAAAGTATTTCTAGGAGAGCCCTGGGCAAAGGTTCCTGTGCAATAGCTCTAGTGTGGGTGTTGTTGACCTGGAGCT